CGTGTATAACATCAAATAGCACTTCAAGGGAGTTCGTATGAAGCCGTGAACAAGTTCCATGACCTTTACCACAAAGACGGACATGGAGCAGTTGTAGATCCTGTGGAACACTAGGCCTCCAAGAAATACATCACAATTCCTTGATTGTCACTGCGTCACAGTTCTGAATTCCCTACCTATCAGTACTGTGGGATCAGCCTCTGGATTTCTGAAGCATAATTAGGGATATGCAAAGCTTGCCTTGCTAGTGACATTCACGTTGAGCGAGTAATAAATAAAAAAAAAGACAGAAGTCACATGACTCCAGTTTAGAGTCCAACAGTTTTATTTGAAATCACAAGCTTTCAGAGCACAGCCCCTGTGTGAGGTGATGTGAGAGAAAAGCACACAGGAAATCTTCTATGATCTTGTGAAGCTAAGCAGACATAGACCTCGTTAGTAGTTTGATGGGAGACTGTCTGGGAATACCAGGTGTAGTAGGTTTTTTTCTGCCAGCAGTGGCTACAGAATTTATGCGCGGAGAGATCAAAAGACCATACAAATGGTGTGGGTGGAGTGTCAAATGACAAGTCCCTGCAGGTGATCCAAAGTGTTAGATGGTGTGAATAAAGTGTCAACAGCTGAATAACTAGTGAAGAGAAGATCTATAATCCAGGTAAATGAGGCAGAGAGACAATTACAAACAAATAAAAATAAGGTAATGCTGGAGCCATGGTCTTCACAGTCTTCAACATGTTGTCGATGATGACGAGCATCTCACCAAAATCATCCCTACACCTCCTCTTCTCACCTTCAAACAAACCTTAAACAGACCACTGTTCGCAGCAAACTACCCAGCCTTCAGGAGAATATTGACCACAACCACCACACAAACCTCCCACGGCAACCTCTACAAGACATATCAGATTATCCAAATGGATACTACCGTCACACGTGGGAACATCACCTACCACGTACGCAGCAGATGCTCATGTGACTCAGCCAACGTTGTCTACCTCATACGCTGTAGGCAAGGATGCCCCGAGGCATGGTATATTGGCGAGACCATGCAGACTCTATGACAACGGATGAATGGACACCACGCAACAATCGCCAGACAGCAGACAGGAAAGTTCCTTCCCAGTCTGGGAACACTTCAGCAGTCAAGGGCATTCAACTTCCAATCTTCCAGTAAGCATCCCTCAAGACGGCCTTCGAGATACACAACAACTCAGAATCGCCAAGCTGAAACTAATAGCCAGGTTCCATATTCATGAAGACAGCCTCTACCATGATCTTGGGTTCATGTTGCGTGACATGTGACCCCACCACACTGTTCTGTATCTGTAGAACCTTCCTTACTGTCCTGTTTTGTCACCATTACCTTGATAAATTGTTATGATCTCTCTACCTTAATTAGTTTGTGCAGTTTTGGATTACTTTGGTTAGATCTTCTGCATGCAACTCTTATACCATGTTATTCCAGTCATTTGATTTGTCTCCAGCACCACCCTATTCTTAATTTATTGTAATTATCTCTCTGCCTTATTTAATTGAAATATAGGCCATCCCTTCACTTGTTACTCATACCGTCTAAAGCTTCGGATCACCTGCAGAGACTTATTATTCGACACTCCACTCACGTCATTTGTATGATCTTTTGATCTCTCTGCCCTTGATCTCTCTGCCCATAAGTTCTGTGTGCTGTGTGCTTCTCTCTCACTTTACCTGATGAAGGGGCTATGCTCCGAAAGCTTGTGGTTTCAAATAAACCTGTTGGACTATACCTGGTGTCACATGACTTCTGACTTTGTCCACCCCAGTCCAACACCGGCACCTCCACATCACAGAAAAAAAAGTGACCAACCATTTATACTGTGAATGTCAAACTCAAAAGATATCAATGTTGTACTAAAAGAAAATATTATTTTAGTCAGGAACTGTGAGGTTTGAAATTCTCAATTTCATTTATGTATCTCAGAGATCCCCACCACCACTATCACTTATCCACACCCCCAGCTGCCTGCATTTAAATTTGATGGTCTGAATGCATCCTTATCTTAAAAGCACCATCTATGAAATAAGTATCTCTCAATTCTTCAACAATGTAAGGAGATTTTGCATTTCCTAGCTCCTCCTGACCTTATGTGCTCATCTGGCATCCTGTCTCTTTGGTGATGCCTGGATGTTGTCACTGGGCAAGTGTCCGACTGAGAAAATATGATAGTGGATGCTATGAAGGATTAGTAGATCAAAACAGAGGTACTGGATTCCAAGTCCTTCACTGGATTGAGTTGAGAGGGAGAAGAACTCTTCTTAAGTCTGAAAAGCATGAGTTTTTAATGACAGTTTCTTGATATGTACAACTATATCAGAAGAAAGAAATCAGATGTGTGACAAACATGTCTTCCCTGCTTCCTTCCTAGCATCTCTACAGCTTTTTAAACAGGGAGTAGGATGTGGGAGGGCTGCAAGAGGGTAGATCTTTGGGATATGATGTTTGTCACCAACCTATTGCAGCAAGTGTGGATTGTCTTGACTTAAATAGAAATGCCCTTGTGGAGCAGTGGGACTATCCCTACCTCTGGGCCTGGGTTCAATTTCCACCTGCTCCAGAGGTGTCTAATACCATGTCTGAACAGATTGATATTAAAAAAAGAAAGGCAGAAATGGACACAAGAAGCATCAGTAATCACAAGATCCACATAATCCAGGCCTCTCAATATAACTGTAGTAGGAGCCCTGGCAGATGACTGCAACAAACAAATACATTCCACATGAAGTTTTTCAGATAGTAATTGTATGACAGGATGTCAATGAAATACACTGTATGGATTGTGAAAATGATCTTAAATTTTCAAAGTATTTTAACATAATAGGCAACAATGGCGACAGTGGTTATATGTGACACAAATGCTTAGAATAGCGCAATCGAGGCTACCTTATCTCTTAAAGTGGTTGAACTTTTCAACATTGATTAGCCATGCACTGAATAGTGGAAATAACATTTACTGTTCTTGACACTTCTAATTTCTTTGCAGATGCTCTCGTTGGGCCGTCCACCGACTGGTGTGAAACAGCATCTCCTCCCTGCAACAGCACTTCCAAAATCTCTGCTTCCATGAAGTGACAGCTTATATGTACCTCCAAGCTATAAGTGTTCTGGCTTGCAGCAAAAGATGTTTTGCTGAAGCCCAGTCTGTTAAATTTCTGGTTGAAGTCCTGCAGTAATAAGCTGGTCTAAGCAATTGGGGGAATACGCTCATTTCTGAGGTGAAAAATAGGCATCTAAATATTTGTTGAGGACAGTTGGGTGCATGCAGTCCTTTGGACAGGATATATGACACCACCATGTTGGTGAAGGCAGATGGAGGAATGCCTATACTTGAACAGGTTATAATTCCTTTGAATATATAAACAAGAGGCCTCCGTTTGAGATTTCAAGTGTAAATGCAGGCTGCCCAGAGTCCAGTCAACAACACAGCAATTGTGTCTACATGTGATCTAACCAGCAGCCTTTGAAGGAAATGCCTCCACATGTTGTAGTTGAATTTCTCCTCCACTACAGCAGTGTACCACTGCACTGCACTACCAAACACCATTGACAGTCCCCACAAAGCCCTCTCCTTCCCATTCAGTAACTTCTGTTGTTCCTTGCTCCCTGAAGCTTACACTCATTTATGGTCTCTTCTTAGCAGTCTAACCACTCTGCATCTCTTCTACGACTCACCTGAAGGCCACTGAAAAACTGCAATTCTCTTCTTTGATGAGCTGCTGTGGTACACTCAGCAGATGCACAGTTTGCCAACCTTTTCAACATGATGCTTAATACTTGGTATGTCAACCCAGGATTTCTAGCCCACTATGCTGCATCCCTTAAATGACTGCATTCTCAAAGGGGCATCATTGCCCACACTATTTTAGTTTAGATGGCCTCCAAAAGTTATGGTGGGTTTGTGTGATAATGCCAGGTAGGTGAAAACTCTCCCCATCCTATTAGTCAGGATTAAACTACCAAGGAAAAAAAAAATCAAAGGATCATAAAATCCCTACAGTGTGGGAGCAGACTTTTCAACCCATCAGATCCACACCATCCCTCTGATGAACATCCTACTCCAACCTATCCCTGTATTTCCCATGGCTAATCCACCTAGCACACATGTCCCTGGACACTATGGACAATTTATTGTGGCCAATCCACCTAACCTGCACATCTGTGGACTACGGAAGGAAACTGGAGCACCTAGAGGAAACCTACACAATGTACAAACTCCACATAGTCACCCAAGGCTGGAATTGAACCTGGATCCCTGGTGTTGTGAGGGGGCAGTGCTAACCACTGAGCCACTGCAGTCACATGAAGATGTCATAATAACAATATGCCAGGGCCAACCTACATCTTGAGGTTCTAATGGTTCTTTATGATGTTTTGATCATACTGATCTGTATAAGGTTTTAGTGCTATGTTTATTTGTTTTAATGACAAAATCTGGTGCTGACATCAAATCGCTTTCATTTAAAAATCGTCTTCAGTGTCTATACATGCTGTGCTATGCAGATCTGATCCAGTCACTTCTATATATTCTGTATATTGAACAGTATATTTTGAATTTCCTAGAAGCTCTGGCTTACAGAAATCTTTACTTGCAATGTTACTGTAGCAATGTTTCTCTCGATAATAAGCATTGACTGCATTTACAAGACTAAAGTTACACAGACATAAACAAATCCTTTTGAAGAAGGATTTATTTTAGTTATGTTTCTCTTTCGCATTGTTTCTAATATGTGCAATTTCACCTTTTCACAGTAGAGAAGTAATTCATGAAGTTTGTTGTTATATTGGGTTAAGATTGAAAATATTTAAGACAACCTCTTAACATGCCATTGGTGACTGTCATTCAACCTTTCAGTGCTATGTCACAAGCATTGCTAGGGAGTAGGACAATGATGTCAGTGCACATATAAAAACAAGCTACTGAGCAGATGCAGTGCATATTCAAAAATAAGATAAGCAGTGGGAAATGGCATATAAAGTGCTTCTTTTCGGTCTAATTAATTCAGCCCAAAAATACCTGACTGGAGAGGTGTTCAACTACAAAGTGAATGCAACAGGTTCCTCACTGAAGAAGAGCCAAATATGGACCATTGAGTTTACCAAGGAGGACTGTCCTATGGTCCATATCAAGAGTTTTTTTAACAGGTACATTGCTGCAGACAAGGATGGCAAGATCACCTGTGATCAGGAGGTGCCCACTCCGAACTGTGATTTCCTCATGATGCTTCATCCAGACGGAAGAGTCTCCTTCCAATCAGAGCGCACCAAACGGTATTTAGGAGGAAACCAGGACAACATCACATGCTTTGCCCAGGCTATTTCAGCCAGTGAGAAGTGGGTGCCCCACCTGGTTATCCACCCCAGTGTTAACATGTTCAACCCTGGCAGAAAAAATTACCTTCGACTGAATGAGCAAAATGGAAGAATGCTCTGTGACAAGAGCCAACCCTGGGGCGCGGACTGTGTCATGACACTTTATTTTGACATCAAAGAGAAAAAATACGCCATAAGGACGGGAACTGGTAGCTTTATTGCTTGCAACGGGAAAACTGAGCCCGCAATAACAAATAGAACATTATATCGCCTAGAGATCCAGAATGGGATGATCAGTCTAAAGGATATGCACGGTAAATTCCTATCTGCGAAGGACTGCAATGTAAAAACAATTAAAACTTTGAATCCTAGTACAGATGAACTTTTTATCATAGACCCTTCTCCTGGGCAGATCTGTATTATGTCATTGGCTAATGAGAGGTACATCACCTGTAAGCCAGGCCCGGCTGTCTATTCAAATGTTAATGATATAAAGGATGCTGGAAACTTCCAAATTATGATGGATTCCACAACAAAAAAAGTTTGCTTCCAAAATATTTCAAAACACTACCTCGCAGTTGGTGCCAAAGGCTTCATTGAAGTCTCTAAGCAACTAGACTTTCACTGCTGGTTTCAAATCATGTATAACTGTGAAAAGGCAGCTTTAAAGGCATCAGATGGAAGATACGTGACTGTGAATGCAGGTGGCCAGCTCTTAGTGGGGCCAATTTCAATTGGGAGACAGGAAGAATTTGTCTTAAAACTTACTAATCGATCTCAGCTAATACTCCAGAGTGAATTTGGTTTTGTTGGCTTTTTGCCTGGGAAGCAAAAGTTGGTTTGCAACAGGCCAATGTATGAAGCAAGCAAAATAATTTCAACTGCTGATGGCTTCTATCAGTTCAAAGTAGCATCACTTGACAGATACTGGCAGTTGGATGAAGAAGGCGCAATCACAACCACAGGAGAAGTGCCTGTTAATTTCACTATTGAATTGATCACTTCAGACCAAATGATCATAAGAGGACCCAACGGGAAATACATTTTAGCAGAATCTGATGGAAGCTTCAGAGCTATTGGAGAAGATGCCAAGTCTGCTTCATTGTTCCGATACTAAATGACTTTAGCAGATCCAATCTTCGAGCATACATAGAAAAGTTACTCCAACTCAGGTTCAGTCAGGGTGCATCAAAGGAACGAATACCATTTAGTTCAAAAATATTAAACTATATTCCTGCTATGAACTGTGAGTTTCACAACTTTTAATATATAGGAAATAATATATTACTAATAAATAGCAGTTTGAACTTGGTTGTTCGAGTAATGTGCAGTTTGCACCAATAAATAATGGACAGCAAGTTATTTCTTCTTTACATTTTGTACTGAGGGAAATCCTAATCTCAAGAAGGGCCTAGTCAGACAGAGATCAGGCAGCCACCCTGATAAATAAGGATAAAAAAATGGCAAGCAAATTGATGAGGTGGTTAAAAAAGAGGTGCATTTGAGTTATTTGGGTTTACAAACAGAGGAACATAACATAAAAGTAAAGAGGTCATCCTGTGGAACATTTTAAACTCCATTATTTGTCCTCAGTTGGAGCTTTGTGGACAATTATGGGCACCACATTTCAGAAAAGATGTTCAGGGCTTAGAAGGGAATTGAGGAGGTTTATCAGTGTGTAATCGGGAATGAGGGACACAGTTATGACAAGATTTTGGAAACTTAAGCACTCTCTTCCTTGGAACAGAGAAGAATAAGGGATGAATGAAAACATTTTCAAGATGATGAGAGGTTATTATAAAGTTAAAACCTACCCCTCTGGTGAGCAAGTCAGTAACTAGTGACCATCAATTTAAAATCATTGGCTAAAGATCAAGAGGAGAAATGGGAAGAACTTTATTTTTCTAACACAAGAGCTGCCAAGGTCTGGACCATCAACCTGAAAAGCTGATGGAAGCTATTTCCTAAGTTATTTTAAAAAGCAGTGGACAGTAGTTGAGTATGAGGAACTTGCAAAGTTACAAACAAAACACAGCACTGAGGGTTTGGAAGTGGGAACAAATCAGTTGAAATTATTATTTCCAAGACCCAGCAAAGGCAGAACAAGGCAAATAGTGAACTTCTGTTCAGTAAGTTAAATAGTTTAATGAACAAGTAAAGAGTACATGACAGAATAAATTATACTTGGATTCTGGATGGACTGGAGTAATTTTGTTAAATTCACACTTTGAATTTTCTGATTTTTTTGTGCAGAAAAAAACAGGATTAAACAAAAAAGGACAATTGTGTATATGTTACAAACATATAGAATCTCTGGGTTCCAAAGCTGCATGAAGAATTTTATTTACACACATTTCAGCTGTGATATTGATTAGATCTGACTAGTCCGCCTGCACCCACTTTCCCCTCCAGCTAAATCGGCAAGTTGACCAAAGTACTTCATCCCTCCACTAGCAGAGATAAATGGTAGTGCACATACATTCAGTTTTGAATCATGAACACAGAAGTATTGAACTGTTAAAATAATTTCAGTGCAAAATTGGAAGCTTTCAAGCAAGACACAAGATTAGAAATCATTTGTGTCAAACAATGTGATAGATAGTTGAAATGGGCTTTGGTAAATTAATCTTTGACAAAGATCATGGAGTTATCATTACAGCAGAAAATAATTGAGTGGTATGAGTCACTGCGATTAATTAAATGCTGCGCCAATTTAAGCAACAGGTTAGGATTGATAAATTAGGATGTTAAAAACACCCTGTTTGCTTTATCATTTATTTGTGAGGAAAGGAACAGAAGCGTTTGCAAACCTTTCCTTGAGAATCATAAATGGGATGGGTAGAGGTTATGAGTGTAGTATATATACAACAATAAGTTCTATTGGTCAAAGAGCCTCTTTTCCTTCCTTTAATGTTATGCTTACCATTCAACAAACTCACCCATAAAGATTACTAAATTTATCAATTTGAAACAAAAACAAAGTTGCTGGAAAAGCTCAGCAGGTCTGGCAGCATCTGTGAAGGAAAAAAGAGTTAACGTTTCGGGTCCGGTGACCCTTCCTCAGAACTGACCCGAAAAGTTAACTTTGTTTATTCCTTCACAGATCTGCTGAGCTTTTCCAGCAACTTTGTTTTTGTTCCTGATTTACAGCAAGCATAGTTCTTTCAGTTTTTATCAATTTGAAATCTCAATTTAGTTAGAGAGGCCTGATAGGAAGAATTTCACATTTTACTGACAAGACATTCCGATCTGGAGTTTGCTTTCAAAATATAAAATAAATACAAATTCTATTGAGTTTAATTTATCTCCACTTAATTTTTGTACTGAGATGTCTTTGGTTCAACTCTTCATCGCAGCCTCACACGTATTGAAATTATCTGATGATTGTTCTCACTATTTCTATAACTGACTTCGTCTGAGATGAATGGTGTCAATGATGACAACAATAGTTTATCCGTATAAAGCTCCTTAAACATAATGAACTTTCTCATGGTGCTTCAACAGAGCATTATAAGACAGTCTATGCTCCTAGTAGAGGGGGTTAATGGCTATATGCTAATGGATGGACTGCATCGTCATTGATATAAAATCATGTCAATCCCATGAAGTGATATCTAGATATGTCCTGCTTCAGCCTTTCTTGTACATGGTGAGCATACTTAAAGGTTGTTAGATTTCTCTGACATGGTTCGAGCCTATTTTCCATTATGGAAATCTAGACACAAGCCTAATGTTCCAAACTGGTGGCACGGTAGGCAAACTGCTTTGTAAGGCTCCTGGTCATCAGGTTGAAAGACGATAAACTAAAGAAGCTGAAACTGGCCAGGAAACATTCAGGAAATGCCCGCAGCAACACGCCAGTTTAAAAAAATCACCAAAAGAGCTTCATGACTGCTGAGTACATGGATGCAGAGTGATCAAGTGAGCTGTCACCCTTCCTAAGATTCGGAACCAATAAAAAGACATTGAGCCAGCCACATGCTGGATAGACTGCTGTCAGCACTTCAAAGACCAAACATTGTTCACAAACTTAGAAAACATCCAGGTCAGAAACAGAAGTAGCTGTAAAAGCCCAGCTGGTCCAGCAGCATCTGTGAAGAAAAATCAGAGTTAGCGTTTCCGGTGACCCTTCCTCAGAACTGATGGTAACTAGGAAAATGTCAGTTTATACGCGGTTTATATGGGTGAGGAGTAAACAATTGGTGGGGATAGAGCCCAACGACCGAAAATAACATTTGGACTGATAAAGGAGTTGGTAACAATCTGCCTAGGAGGGTGAATAACTGTTGATGGAGACTGTTAGTGACTAACAATAGGTAGTGCAAAATGGCAGACTATGTGATAACAAGGTCTGGTGTGTCGGGTAGGCGGCTTGGATATGGGAGAGTTCAGGCCCTAAAATTATTGAACTCAATACTGAGTCCAGAGGGCTGCAGGGTCCCCAAGTGGAAAATGAGATATTGTTCTTCCAGCTTGTACTGAGCTTTGCTGGAACAGTGCAGCAAGCCTGAGACAGAGATGTTGGACAGGGAGCAAGGTGGTCTGTTGCAGGGGGAGCTGCCATGGGGCCGTGGGTGGTGTTGGGAGTGAAGGAAGAGTAGACAAGGATGTCCCAGAGGAAACAGTCCCTTCAGAAGGTGGACAAGAGAGGGGAGGGGAATATGTGCCTGGTGGTGGCATCTCACTGGAGGTAGCAAAAATGGCGGCTAATGATCTTCTGGATGTGGATGCTGGTGGGGCGGTAGGTAGGGACAAGGGGAACGCTATCGCAGTTGCGGGAGCGAAGAGAGGGGGTGAGGGCAAAAGTGCGGGAGATGGGTCAGTCCCAGTTGAGGGCCCAGTTGACAACAGTGCTGGGGAATCCTCGGTTGAGGAAGAAGGTAGACATTTTGGAGGCTCCCGTGTCGAAGTTGGCCTCATCTGAACATATGCAATGGAGACGGAGGAACTGAGAGAATGAGATGGAGAATTTACAAGAAGCAGGGTGCGAGGATGTAGGGTCCAGGTAGCTATGGTAGTCAGCGGGTTTATAGTGGATATTAGTGGCCAGTCTACACCCAGAAATAGGAACAGAGATGTCAAGGAAGGGAAGGGAGGAGTCAGAGATAGAGCAGGTGAAAGTGAGGGCAGGGTGGCAACTGGAAGCGAAATTGATGAACTTTTCCAAGTCCAGATGAGTGAGGCAAGCAGCACCAATGATATCATTGATGTATCGGAGAAAGAGTTGTGGATGGGGGTCGGAATAGGACTGGAACAAGAAATGTTCCACATACCCCACGAAGAGACAGGAATATCTGTGGCCCATGAGGGTACCCGTGGCCACCTCTCTCACCTGAAGAAAATGAGAGGAGTTAAAAGAGAAGTTGTTGAGGGTGAGGATGAGCTTGGCCAAGTGGAGGAGGGTGGTGGTGGGTGAGGACGGTTCAGGTCTTTGCTCCAGGAAGAAATGGAGAGCCTTGAGACTATCTGGTAGGGAATGGACGTGTAAAGGGATTGCACATCCATGTTAAGGAAGAGGCAGCTGGAGCCTGCAAACTGGAAGTTCTGAAAATGGCATAAAGCGTCAGAGGAAACACAGATGTACGTGGGCAGGGACTGGACTGGGGAGAAAAGATTGATCAAGGTAGAAAGAGATACATTCTGTGGGGCAGGAGCAGTCTGAAACAATGGATCTGCCCAGACAATCCTGTTTGTGGATTTTTGTAATGAGGTAGAAGCGAGCTGTGTGGGGCTGGGGTACTGGCAGCTCGGAGGCAGTGGGGGGATGATCACCAGATGAAATGAGGTCATTTACTGTAGTTGATACAATGGCCTGATGTGCCATGGTGGGATCATGGTCCAGGGGAAGATAGGAAGAGGCATCTGAGAACTGGTGCTGAACAGCAAAGGTCTGAACCGTCCCCACCCACCCATCACCCTCCTCCACTTGGCCAATCTTGTCCTCACCCTTAACAACTTCTCTTTTAACTCCTCTCATTTTCCTCAGGTGAGAGGGGTGGCCTTGGGTACGCTCATGGGCCCCAGTTATGTATGCTTGTCTCTTCGTGGGATATGTGGAACTTGTTCCAGTCCTATTCCGGCCCTCACCCACAACTCTTTCTCCAATATATCTATGAT